CACAGACACAGAGACACACTCTCACACTTTTAATTTAAGGATGTTGTGTTGGAAAACATGACAAAAATTTGTTTTTTCAGTATGTGTCATATTTATTGCCACGACTTGTGAATTTATGACTGTCTGCTCTGATTTAGGAACTTTTGGGATCTTAATTTGTGAAAACGAGAATTAAGACTTTTTAAGACCCACAGTTAAGATAAATCTTGAAAAATGTATTACAACGAAGTGTGCTTTTGCTTAAAACAAGAACAATATCTGCCAGTGGAATCAGAAAAATCAACTTAATTTAAAGGCAAAACAGGATTATTTTTCCTACTCCATTGGTAGTCATTTTTTTCTTGATTTAAGCATAAAGTCACTTCATTTGGATACATTTTTCAGAATGCAAAATATCTGATGTCATTTTGTTTCTCTAGAAAACGTATCTTGATTTAAGAATCTTTGTAGTGGAAAACGAGACAGGAAGAATGATCCCTGCTCGCTCTGAAAGTGATTCTGCAGGCTTGTCTTCTCTATAATTTCACCAAACTCTTCAGATATGATTCAGTCCCCAAATCCGCCGAGGACGATCTCGGAGAGCTTTCCAGTGTGTGTTGGAGAGCTCCTTTCATTCCCAGTGAAGGTGAGCCGGCTCTCCGTGTAATAAACTGCGGATGAGGCTCTGGAGGAGAATCGGGAGCGTTTGGAGTTTATTTTCAGTGCTGATGATCTTCAGACTCCTGTGTGTGTGTTTGGTAAGTGGAGCAGGACCCGAGGAACCTGTCAAACATCAGTCTCACAGCCCTGATGATGTCTACTGTGATTTATGAGCACAGAAACACACACACACACACACACACACACACACGCGCACACACACAAACTCTGGATTGAAATGAACCTGAACAGGAGATCAGATGAGACTATTCCCTTCATAAGGGGGAGTCGTGGCCTAATGGTTAGAGAGTCGGACTCGTATCTTTTCTGTTTTAATTTTTTATTCTGTTTTAGTATGATGCTCATAAAGCATGTCTAATTAATTGAAATAATGAAACAAATAATAAAAAAAACTAACATTTTTAGAGCCCTATGAAATCTGTTTTTCCCCCCTAAAATGTAATTACATTTTTCCCAAATTCAGTGCTTTTAGTTGATTTGGATTCTACTGGATCATGTTTTAATGGTTTAACTACATTTTAATAATAAAAAAAAGAAAGTGAAATTAATTGATTTCATAGCACTTTAACAATTTAATAATTTATAAAACAAATTACAATCAATTTATTTTTTCAGAACATTTCTATCTTTTTCTGAACGTTTCTCTCTGGATGTCAATTAAAAGCATGTGAGGAGTTCATTCCTGCTGCGGCACGTCTTAATTAACGACGGGAATCAAAGGAAGGAGCTCTCCTTAAAGATGGTGCTGACAGCGACACGCGTCTCTCCTCACCGCCGTTATCACCGCAACACGCCACTCAAAGACTCTTAACAAACCCATTACAATTCAGTCCATTCAGACGGAGAATTATCAGCAGCGGACGAGCGCCGAGACGCTCTGAAGACCGTTTGTGAAGGGGAGGACGAGAGATGGAGATTAGAGCTGGGAGTTCGGTGAGAAAGCAATTATTTGTGCTCTTTGTGACTTTAACACACTGACACACTTACACACACACGCATGCACGCACACACACGCACACACACACACACACACACACAGACACACTGACACACTTACACACACACGCATGCATGTGCGCACGCACGCACGCACACACACACACACACACACACA